AAGAGTGTTTTTTTGTTGGGTTCTTCAGTTGATGTGAGCTCAGATTGATTCTATGAGGGTGTTGACAAGATGGTGGATAACAAATCCTTTGTGAACTTTTGTAATTATGTTTGGTTTGATGGTATAACTTTATCAAAGGTTTTTTAGGACTTTTTAGATATCTAATAAAAAATACTTTTTGGACGCACAATATGGTCATTAGGAGTCAAATCAAGGTGTGAGAATTTGTTTGGAGGAAAGAGTTGTCTGACAGTGTTAATTGATGAAGAATTTAAAATTTGTTTTATGTGGTGTTACCATCTCGTCGAAAAAGATAGTTAGTCTTTTATGCATGAACCAAATGGATATTACTTTGTTAAATTGGCCTATGGTTTCCTATCAACTATGTTAGTTAGGATTTTAGGTTTTTTTATGAAGGCAACTAATAACCTAGTTTGCATTTGGTAAAATCTTTTTTCTTTTAAGGTTATTGTGTTCTCTTATAATTTTTTATTGAATATTGTTCCCTCTTGCATCACAACATGATTCAAGATATCTCTAATTCAAGGTGTATTATATTTGGATATATTTAGGAGTCGATGGCTCACTTTTTGGCATGTGTAATTTCTCGCTCATAATGTTTTACAATATTTTTAAGTGGTATCAGTGGACGATTGTGATGCCACTAGATAGGTTTAATTTTTTTTATTATTCTCACCTTTTTTAGATATAATCTTTGCAATGCTACTAGATAGGTTTGTATTTTTCTTAATTTTCACCACTTCTAGTCATAAGAAAGTGTTTTCTCTAGTTTCACAAGTAGTGGTGTGAGATATTTAAAAGGCTTAAAATGATGTTATATTCTCTAGTAAGGTAAAAAAAAAAAGTAGGTATAACAATCTATCTTAATCTTGCTTATGTTAGCTACTTTGTTATAAATAGTTGGTCTCAAGCCTAGATAAAATGAGATGGTTGTGTTAGGAAATCGACATCCAGTGTAAAAAAATTTAAAATCTCTCTGACATGGATTAACTACTAAATAATGTGAATGTTAGATCATTGCCTGAGAGTAACATATTTTATGCCTCAAGTACAATATTAAAAGAGCATGGGTCGCTGCATCGCCGCCTGGTGCATTGAAAAATAAGCAAGGGTTCTCATATTTTCGTGAACGGGTGTGGGTAAAGAAGTTAGTTTAAGAGAGTATGATTTATTTTGGATCATGGAAAATAGGCAAGCTTATTGAAAAATTTATGGAAATAATGGACATTATGGTTAGGAGGAATATCAATTTTATGTACCTACAAGAAACTAAGTGGATATGTGAAAAATAAAAAAGAAGTATACAACCCGATATTTAAACTTAGTTACATCAGAAAAGTTAGATAGAGAAATGAGATGGGGATTATTATGGACAAGAACTGGAAGAACGATACTATGGATGTGAAAAGAGTAAGAGATCAAATCAATAACTTTGAAATTTATAGTGAACATGACGCCTTTAATGTCATTAGTGCTTACGCACCTTAGGTTAGGTAGCATAAAACCTTAAGGTAAAATTTTGGGAGGATTTAGAAGGCGCACTGCAGGATATACCCCAAAGAGAAAATATTTTTCTATGAGGAGATCTAAATTAACATGTAGAGAGCATAGCAAGAAATTTTGAGAGTGTGCATAATGAGTATGATCTAGGGTAGGTGAACGCAGTGGATAAATCTATCCTACAGTTTTCGTCGACTTTGAATATTACTATAGTTAGTATCTAGTTTAGAAAAAAAAGATAAGCATTTTATCACATATAAAATTCAGGTGACATGTTCTCATATAGATTTCTTTCTTATTAGGAAGACATATAGGAAGATTTGCTTAGACTTCAAAGTTACTATGGGAGAGAGTTTGACTATCCAACATAGTGTAGTGTTTATAGATGTAAGAGTGAATGGGGGAGCAAAGATAAGAAGTCACATGTGAGCGCGACAAATCAAATGGTGGCTTTTGAAGGGTGAAAAACAAGAAAGTTTCTAACACATGATCTTGGATGAAGGGTATGGACAAAGATAAGTAAATGTTGATATGTGGAATAGGATGACCCAAGAGATTAAAAAAGTGGTTAAACAGGCGTTGGGAGAATTAGAAGGTTTTGGACCTGGGGATAAAGAATTATGGTGGTGGAAAAAAAGTATGCAGCGTAAAGTTAAAGTAAAAAAGAGTTGTTTTAAACAATGATACATGTGTAAAAATAAATTATATGATTACTCCAAAATCCAAGATTTGGATCAAATGAAGTGTGTTAAAGATGAAGAATGTAAAGTTTTGGCTCAAAAAAATAAAGGATAGGTGAAGACCTACTTCTACAATTTATTTAATAAATGATATGATATCTTACTAGACTCTAGCAGACTCGACTTTAGAGAAGAGGACCGAAACTATAATTACTACCGTTAGATTTCAAAATCAATAAGTAAAAAAGTGTTGAAAAGAATGAGTAATAGTAAGGCGGTTGGAGCAGATAATATACCTATTAAAGTATGAAAAATTCTTGAAAAGAGAGATATTGAGTGGCTCACCAAACTCTTTAATAAAATTATGAGGTCAAAAAAATGTTGGGTGAATGGATAAGAAGCATTTTAGTTCTAATTTATAAGAATAAGGGTGACATATAAAATTGTGCAAATTGTAGAGAGATTAAACTTATGGAAAAAATGATTGAACGAAAACTAAGAAACGAAACTCAAGTCACTGAGAATCAACTTGGTTTTATGCTTGGAAGGTCGACTATGGAATCGATCTATCTATTATGATGTGTGATGGAGCGGTATCAGATGGACCTACAATACTTGCACTAAATTTTTATTGACTTGGAGATGGCGTATGATAGAGTGTCTAAAGAGATTTTATGGAAAGTCCTAGAGAAGAAAAGGGTTACAATTTCATATGTTCGAATTATTCATGATATGTGAAAGAGTATCGACTAGCATGCAGGTACAAGGTGAAGAGACGGGAAATTTTCACATACAATAGATTTGCATCAAGGTTCAACCCTAAGCTCCTATTTTTTTACCTTAATTTTGGATATGCTCATGGAACACATCCAAAAGCTAACACTGAGATGCATGCTTTTGGTAGATGATATAGTCCTATTTGGAGAGTCGAATGAGAATTTAAATGATAGGTTAGAGACTTGGAGACGAGTTTTAGAGACACGTGGTTTTCACCTAAATAGAAGTAAGACGAGATATATGAAATGTGAGTACATCAAATGAATAAGTGTTTTTATCTTATAGGTGAAATTTGAAGACTATAGCATCCCTCAAGTCACACAATTTAAATATCTCGAGTTTATAATACTAAATAATGGAGAAATTGAAAGGGATGTAAATCATCGAATTCTAGTTGGGTGGTTGAAACGGGAGGGGAGACTTCAGGGGTTTTACGTGACACAAATGTATCGCTCAAGCTTAAGAAATTTTTTTATCAGTGTGGTAAGACCTACGATATTGTACGAGACAAAATATTGGACGCTTAAGAATTAACACAAGAATAAAATAAGTATAGCAGAGATGAAGATGTTGTGTTGGATGTGCGGTAAAACTAGAAAGAATATGATTTAGAAATGAAAATATCATAGTGTTGGGATAGCATTATAGTAGAGAAGATGGTGAAAAATAAACTTAGATTATTTGAACAAGTAGAGACATGTAAATTTTATAGTAAGGACAGTATATCAGATAGAGAGAAATCAAACAATTAGAAGAAAAAGACTTAAAAAGACTAAGAATATTTATTAAAAAAATATCTTGAGATTAACGATTTAAATAGATACATGACTATAGAAAGAACATTATGACGAAAGTTAATTCATGGGGTCAACCTTGTTTATTGGAATAACACTTGTTGTTTTCTCCTACTACTGGTACAATGAGTTGTGCAATCCTCATCTTGCTTGTATTAACAGCTCGTTGTTTAAAATTGTTTTAGGCCTCTTATGCTCATCGTGCAAGGTAATAATTAGGATATTTGTGTCGTCTCACTCCATTTTCAACTTTCACCATCTTTTGATAACGCTCGATGCTCATGAAAAATAATGCCAGGTTAGGCAGTTGGCACTGTCTGTCACTTTCGACTTATGGACGTAACGGCAATTTTTATAACCATATGAATGGCTATGTCACATAGCTGTATTACTAATCTAGTTCAGTTCCACTTAGGCAACTTTAGGGGGGGGGGGGGGGGGGGGGGAATGAGCCAAGCAGAATGTCAATGGTGAGTGAAGCGATAGCTTATTACTGATCAGAATGGAAATTGTTAAGAAAATGAATTGTTGATGAAATTGCATATAACAAAACATCTCAAGAAACTTGGTCACATCCAATTAAGGTGACAAAATAAATTATTAAATTCCATTTAGGTTTATTTTCCTGAGATTTTGCAAAAGCTTCCAATTTTTCCAAGCACAAATTAAAATTTTGGATGCACCCAACTTAAAACTGTCACCAAGTGTAAGAAGTGATATGTGATTATAAACGCACTTTGGGAACAGCTGGTGCCAAGTGCCAACAAGAAACAACTATATTGTGGAGCATCTGAGACCAGAATCACGAATGAAATTTAATCACTAAACATCACTATTGGTGAACTTCTTGCTACCTAAGCAATAAATAAAATTTCCACAAACAGACAAAAGAATATGGGCGCGCAGAAGTTGTATAGGATATACTTACGATTCAATTTAATGAGTGAAGCTAACAAATTACAACAAGACATTGTTGATCTTTACATGAGATGTTTTTTCGATTGATTATATACTGTTACAAAAATCAGGACAGTCTAAATACCAAACATGCACAGAAAAGCAAACCACAATACAACAAATCAAGTCATGCCCCTCCACTTCCTTCCTGAGAAAAAAGTGGGTAATTTAAAGCTGAAAGCAACAGCTTTCGATGGCAGGATGGCCAACCATAAACTAAATTGCAGGAGCAAGCAACCTTGAACTAAATTGCAAGAGCATCATCCATAAATTATTTGGACTTACTAGACTTATAATCGGAAGCTGCAGCTTTAGCAACAGATTTGGCCAGGGTGGTAGGTTTAATAACACTCTTAGGATTGATAGCCTTCCTAATCTTAAATGCAACCCAAGCAGTACCCAAAGCATGACCCGCAGCATCAAGCCCTTCACTTGTTGCGTGAGCAGCTTGTTCTCCGTATCTGTAGTATACAAATTGCCAAATTAACTTCTGAAATTATAGAGAAGCATAATGAAATAGCAAACTATGGAAAGTGAATTTTGTTGGCTAAGTCATAAGTTGTAAAATAAAGTTTATCAGGGCTCACATCAAAACCAAGAAATGATTTCACTATACTAGTAAGAGAGCATGAACTTCAAAAATTTTGTTACTCTCTCCGTCTCACAAAAAGAGTCTCATTTGCACTTCTTCTATGTCTCAAAATAATTGTCCTTTTACAATACTAATGCACCATCT